GTCGCGCAAAATTGCGCGATTAATGACGATGGTGAATCGGTCGAATTAACGGTAATGATAAACGGTAATGATTAGCTAAACGATGAATGTTGGAGAATCAGATCAAAGAGGGCTATAAATCAGGATCAATTTCTGACGGCAATCATAAAATCGTTCTAGGCCGCGACTAAATGATAGTTGTTTGACAATCAGGAATGTGCCAGTGTTTCTATTCGAGCTACTTTCGCCAGATGTCAATTCTAACATGTATATATTCATATTCAAAGACTGATTGTGAATATGAAAACGGGATAATTTAATTTAATAATCTGACTTTTGAAACAATAATTTTGAAATAATTGAAAGTTATTTTGTTTTCTATCTTTAATTGCCTTTGTTTTCATTCCAAGAGTCTTTAATCTTATTTCCACATATATAACTTGCTTATATTATTACAATCATTCAAGATTTTAATATTACACATTTTCGAACAAAAGCATGACTTTCACGATATTTTATACTAGATCAACACAGAAATAATAATATACATATCTTTATTTATCTTCAATGTTAAAATTAACGTTAATTATGCAAATTATTTATAGCAATGTAGAATCAATATTAATCATTATACTACAGTTTTGCAATAGAAACATGTTACATAAAAAATTTTTCTCTAGATTAATTTAGGTATATAAAAAATTGCGCTATTAATTTAATCATTAGATTTTGAAATATTATTATAATTGAACTTGAGCAAACAATCTGTAGAACATGAATTACGCAAGCCATCAAACGCAAGCAATTAATTAACATCTAATGTAATCTCATAGTTACTTTTCCATAAGACAACACTTTATAATGCCACATAAAAAAATGAGAACTTATTTTAAAGACTTATTGTCCTCTTAAAATAGATTCACCGATTTATACATGAAATAGAATACATAATAAATACATATGACATATCTTTTTGATATGGAAGCGTAATAAGCGTGATTGAGTGACACATATTCCAATTTTAAATTATTCTACAAATTACGTACAATATATCTAAATGTAGATATCTTCAGTTATCAAACAATTAGTCAAGGATACTATCGCTTTTGTTAAATGTTAAAATTATTTGCACCATTAGCGAAGATTGTGTTTCTAAGTGCATGTTTTTCACGACACGACTGCATGCACGCGTGAGAAAATCCGATCTACATTTAGTCGCTATAGTCGCTACATTCATGATTCTTCAATCGTAAAGTTGTTTGTAGCGTAAGACTTTCGCGTTCCTTACACCGTGGAAAAGTATCCTACTTTTACACGCGCCTCCGCTTTTATACCATATACTCAATTTAAACTTCAGTGTCTATTGTATTCTTAATTAAACTTCCGCATCGCGATCTATTATTTAATCGTCATGTAATATCATTGGATAGAATTTACTCGAAAACATAAATGTTAGAAAAGATAAGTAAATTCGTGTGCAAAAGCGATATTGCCTCTCTTTGCGCGCGATATCGCTTTTGCATGCATTACCTATGTTGTTATCGATATGTTGCATATTGCATATTTCATCGGTACTTCAGCTTGCGTAAATGCTGTGCTCCAAACAAAGCATTATTGTTGCATCTCGTAACATGATAGTCGTGTCCTGTGTGTCAGTTATAATATTTCGGAAGTGTTATCATAGAATATATGTATGCACAATAACAAGTGTTAATTTACAGGAGATATTTCCTAATTTATTTTCTGTTTTATTTTATAACAGACTTGAGATTTATATATTTACCCATTTTTTTCATTAGCAATAGGACAGAGGATAATACAGATCAAACAATGAACATATATAATGTTTTAATTTCTTGGCATTCTTAAAATTTATTGTTTACTTTTATAAATTCTCAATTGCTTATGCTATTTTAATAATACTTTCTCGTGGCTCTTTTCGCATATCAAAGCATCTTTCTCAGATGGATTACGGCATCATCAACGGCGTCAACGAACGGGGTCTTCAAGACGATTGTAACAGTTGGAGCGCGAATAATCACGTATCCTGCTCACTCTGGTTGTTGATATTTTGCAATATAAAACTATTATTAGATCAATACAATAAGTATAAGAGAGAATTTATTTGCTGACGAATGATTACTGAAACCGTGTTATATATACATTGTATATAAAACATGTATATACTTTCTTTCGTTCTCGCTTAGGTAATCGTATGACATATTTATCAATGTATTATCTAATCTTCTACCTACATTGCAAAGTATAATAATACTTTTATATTATAATACAAAGCACAATTATTTAATTTAAATTATTTAATTTAATAGATAATATGCAAAGTGTGGATAATCTGTCACAATCTAATGATCTAAAAAATAATGACTTTTACTTTTAAATTTAAATTAATAGAAAGATTGAGCTGATACATTTTATGGAATATTGTACTGGCAGTTGATGCCAAAGAGAAAATATCCAGCGGTGCTGATATTGATGCTAATATTGAGGAAATCCCTTGAAACAATTATTGTCTGTAATGATGATCGTGACAGCCATGTCCCAGTTGCAGGCTTCGCTTACGGCTTACGGACCACGTGCACTCTATTGTTCCTTTTGTTGAGAAGACTCTACCTAAGATATATCCTGTCATTTTTCTTTAATGAAGATCCATCAGCCGCGCGATTGAAAATCTGACATGCAAATGCAATTTTACATGTAAAATCTCGCTTTATTGCAACAATTTTTATTATATTAATAATAAAAAGTTATTGGAGCGTTCCTCAATTATCTGACTCTTTAATAACGTATAACATTCTAGAGATTAACTAAAGTAAAAAATCCTACGAAATATTCAAGTCTCGATCGTTAAAGTTAGTGCCTGATAATGCGCGAAATATAAACAATACTTTAATTACCTAGATTAATAGTTATTTTATATTAATGTAGCTTTTATTTATCAGATTTATGTAGAGTACATATTAAAAAGTTAAGTTGTTACTTCTACAAATAGCTAACTGTTATCTACATCAGTAATGGCAAAGTTCATACTAACAGATGGCTTTTTATATTTCATGTCCATTATATATCTTATCTTATTTTTTACTTGATGTAAAATTCATTCGTGAATTTCCTTCCTTTTTCATTTAAATTAAATATTTTATATATAATGTTTTATGAAATCTTCTTCTAATATATGAAATAGTAAAAAAAGACGTCTATTTTTTACGATAGTTTGATGACTTTGATATGGTAGAGATATTAATATAAATTTTTATTTTATTTTTTTTCTCTATGTGTATTTGTAACTTTAAATACGTATTAACATATGTTGTACATATTGGTACAGACATGTCGGTCTGTCGATATTACGATTTGTTCCATTTACCTTATAGATTACAAGATACATTTCACTATCCTAAACAAAGAGTTATCGCAAGATTATTTTATCACAAGAAAGAGATTCCATTATGAACTTTGTTATTAAATCTGTTATTTAACCATACAAAAATTGATTTATTGTAGACGACAGATGATGTCATATTGAATGATATATGGTTTTACGAGAGCGAAAGATTAATCACGCGGATTTTGTTGGACGAGTAAATCGTTTCGATCAAACTTTCATTCGACGATTTCAGTTCAGGATACATTTGGTCGATCGAGATCACGCGATTTGTTCACGCGGCCAATAGATGATGCTTCATTCTTTAAATTCATAGTTGAGAAAGTTGCCGGGATCATGATTTTCTGTGTTAGCGTTGTGTAGGCCTCATTGGGATCCTTTTACTCTCTCGTACCATATATATATCTCATAACTCTTCTTATACATTCACAAGGATTAAACGTCTTCGAAACGAGCCGATTTCGCATCCGCAACGTGATAATTTTTCGGTGCAATTGAATAGTTAATTACTGTTCGATTTTCTGATGGCGTGCCAACAATTTCGAAGATAAAATTCCAATGAGCCGTTTAAAATTTCTCCCTGTGAGTTTCCGACAAGGTTTAGAATTTATTATTCTTTGTCTATTCTAACGAAATTAAATTTAACTTATTTAATAATTACAGAACTTACTATTTTTTAAACTTATCGCTTCTCTGATATTTTGTACTTTTGCATGTAATTATTTTTTTACTACTTGAAAAATGTAATAATATATAAGTATATAACAATAAGAATATAAAAATTGCTAATATATTTAACATGAAAATATTTATGGAAAAATTTTCATATATATATATATATATATATATATATAATATATATATATATACAAAATGTACTTATTTATTAGAATTATTATTTAATTATTAACTTTACTATGATTTCATAGTAAAACGTTGGAAAGAATAATTTAGAATTAAGAGAATAATTTTTGAAAATTCAGGGTTTTCAAGAGCTGAGAGAAAGAACATCTGCAGGTTCGGAAGAAAGAAAAGTTCTGAGAATTTGTTTTGGCTAGTTATTTCATCCGGCTATAATAGTACCTAGATAACGACTCTCAAAGAATTTCCTTAATCATTCAGACCTGATATCTCGCAAGAATTGATTAAATAGGATAGGAATAAGAAATGAGAATCTCAAATAAAAAAATATTGACTCTCCAATTAAGTTTCGCGAATAAAATAGATGACATATAGAGCTGTAGTATTAAAAGATACAAAGCTAGAGAGATCGATAAAAGTTTTAATATAACATTCGTATTCATTTATCATCGTCACGACTCGTCGCCCTATGAAGGACTGGAAGTCACACATACACAGGCAAGTTGTCTGCCTGCCATGACAAAGACGTTGCCTCTTCTTCAATGTAGACGCTGCTCTCTTGCAACTTCCTATATGTTCCCTAATACCCTTGGGTCCCGGAGGAATCTCCCTTCCCTTCATCGGAGTCATGTAAGTTGACCAATCGACCACTTCTCTCTCTCTCTCTCGCTCTCTCGCTCTCTTCGAGCTCCCCTCTTGATCCTCGAACGGCCCCCTAGTCGAAGACTTCGTCTGGCGTCTGGCGGCAGTTCGGAGCGAGACGCCGACACGACGTACGACGAGTATTTTCGTTTCGAACTTATCGAGCTCCGGAATGCAATTTAATTTTTGTTATCGTGTTACTCGTTGTATATAGACAGTTTTATAGACCAAATTTTATATAAAATGTGTCTCTTGAAATAAATCATTATCATGGTTTGGAGAACATAACGAGAACGTGCCGGCTGCTGATGTAGAAGTGCGCGTAACAGGTCTTTGCATATCCTGTCGAGTGGCGACCGGCGACCGGCGACCGGCGATCGGCGATCGGCGACCGGCGACCGGTGACCGGCCTCCAAAAACGGCTTTTAAATGTCCGGCTTGATGAAGTTGACCGGAACGCACCAAGGCAGAAAAAGATCGGTGAATCCAAAAACTTGATTCGGCTTGTATTCGGCTTAAAACTGTCGAGTTATACCATCGTCATCATGCATCGTCGTCATCTAATTCACGACGAACAAGTGACAGTGATTGAAAATTTGCGCGTGCTCGCGAACGATCTAATACGAAAAGAATCACGAGAATTATAAGATCCAAGCTACATCGGAGCTTGCTTCCAGCTCCGTTCTTCCCATTCAGGCACGTCGCATTCATCCGGTGCGCGGCACAGCGCGGGGCAGCGCGGCGCGGGAGCAACAGCAGCCAATACGCACGCATACCTATATATATGCGAACAATTGGAAGAAGAAAGCGCGTCCGGTTCGCGTTTTGTCCCTTAACGTGTGTTGTTTCCTTCGGAATATCCAGCTCCAGCTAGAAGAAGAAAAAATAGTGATACCACATAGTGATCGCCGATCATTAGCGTTCTTCCTGACTCCGAGGTGGAGCAGCCACGAAAATAAGAACGAGAAGGGATTACGAAATGCCGTGATGTCGTGTGCCAATGGGAGAGGAATGCCGATGCCGGCGCGTTGACGCGGATCTGTTCCTCTTCCCCTGGTGGAGGTCGTCTTCGAGTGTCGCGGGATGCAACCCGGGCACCGGGACGTCATCCGGACGAGTTCGAACGGTTGGCGATCGACCAGGCTGTTCTGACGATCACCACGATCACTCGTCTCTCCGCGATTCGTTTCTCCGAATCTCCGTATCTCCGTATTTCTCGTAAGTATAGAAACAGTTAATGGAAACAGCTATAAGGATCGCCAGGTTCCGGATCTGTAGGTTCTCAAATCCGAATCGATTTGATACCGAAGTAATATTACGTTGGAGAGAGTAACACTATTAAAGTTTTTATTTCACATAGTTGCAAAGCGCTTGGTATAACGGTACTAGAATCCGCTGATAGGTATAGGAGTGTATTACTTTTTGATGTGCTCATATAAAAGTTTCAAGTTTCGCTAAGTTTCTTAATACCATTCGCGATATAGCAATACTCGATAGGATCCCATTTCTACTCCCATTCCTTCGAGGAATGCGTTCTTTTCTCGACGATCAGATCTGTTGTCGACGAATAATTGAGAGTTTTAAAAGAAAATTAATTAAAAACCTTCTTTAAAAGGAGAGATATAAACTTATGTAACGCATTTAATAAAGATAAATATAAACTTAAAACTAGTTCATAAAACAGGAATTAGAAATGCATATACGATCTATTCACTCCAAGAACTCTGTGACTGGTAGCCGCGAGATTGACGAAATTTTCGTGACGCAATTAAGTATCGATCGTTCTGACGGTTTCGTGAACGAAGTGATTGCCTGAAGGAATTACCGTTAAAGCGATCGTGACCTCGATCTACCTTTGGTGGATTCTGTATACAGTAGATCCGCATATTTCTGCGAGCGTACCTAAATAATTTGACTGGATTTGCTGCTCGTTCGGTTCGGAATTAATAATAATAATATAAATAAAGATAAAATTTTTATCTTGATTGATAATTAAGTCACACTTATCGATCGTCTTTACCATTCAAAAATAATAAGATGCACGCGATCACGAAGGACATCGATCGTCCTTGACATTTTTTTCTCTTGGAGAAATCAGGAACTGTATACACGCATCGTAGGTATGTCCGTGCACCGGTGGCGGTGCATAGAATTTCGTCGAATACCGTTGATCGCGGCCGCACGCTACAAATTATGAAAGTGTGCGAAAGCCTAGAGAAGAGCTAAATACGCTCGGCTCTCGTTCCATCGACGAATATCACATGATTGTACGCTTTAATGACCCAATTCAATCGGTTTTAATGACGTCAATCAAAAAAACCAGCCAAGGATTCAATTTCCGTTATCGACGAATAATGAGAACGCGCGATAAATGCATACCGAGTAAACCAGCATTTTACCATGTTAATCGACAGATTTTATAACGAACGGCCTTGATATTTCTTTAACGAGTCGTTAGTCATTGATGACGGAGGAGGTTTTCATTTGATCGTCACATTTTTGTCATTTTCTTAACATTGTAATTTGTAACATAGTTCCATCATTTTTAAATTTTCGTGACTTAATTCGAGACTTGCTTAGCAATCCGTCGTCAGTCGAATCACATTTAATTAATCGTCATTTGTTCCGCTACTTTTAATTCGTGGAAGTCAAGTAATTAATTCAACTGTCGAAGGACAAGCGCGATCTTCGCGCGCCAGATTGCCGTTCTTATGTATAATTACGCTAGATAGATGCGAACAAAGGAAATATACAAGTTGATATAACAAAAATATAAAGTATTATAATATGCGTTATAGCGCAAGCGAGATGTGTGATCTGTCGAGGAAATTATAATAATATACTATACCTGATATTCGTAAGTTTCAACGCAAACACTCGCATGCCGTAATACTCTTCGTTGTAAATGTTCATCATTAATATCATATGGTCATTATTATCGGTTGGACAGTTTATATTAAGAATATTAAAGAATTGTGATATGTAAAGTGTAAAGAAGTATTTCATATTTCTAAAACATAAAACGCTCTATTATAGACCATAATTTTGCATTCAAGTAAACAAGTTGCCAATCACTTCTGATCCTAAAAATAACTGTGCTTCATGCAAATTTCCATAGTAATTTTATTAAAATATTTCTGAAAGAGGATTCTAAAATAGAGCTGCGTAATTACACGGAACCTTTCATAAATTCGTTTAGTTAACATTTGCAAATTAAGAGGCTCTTTTCTTTTTTAAATAGCTTTATTAGTATTCATTAGTATTCGATATTTACTTTACGATTTATGATATGCGCGGTATGAAAGGTCACTGTCACCTTTTAATTCATGAAGGCTAACTAGTTTAACTTATTAGAATTTATTAAAAATATGCGATGATAATTAAGGTCATTGCATTATCTTCTTGAATAAGAATGTACAGATGTGACAGATTGATAAATGCATATCACGACATATCGCGATCATGGATTATGTGCACGATTTCTATAGAGATGATAAAGTATAATCTTTGCTTATGGAGAGAATGACGTGTGTAAAGACCAATATGCGCGACTATAAGCTTGACCCCCGGTTCTCCTCTCGGTAACGGTTGTACGATCCAAGTATCACAACCTGACATCCCTGATAAAGTCGGTCGTAGCGCAACAGGCGTCACGTAATGTTGCACGTTGCGTCTCCACGTACATCAATGTCGAATAACACGACAGAATCTCCGAAGTGTAATTATATATAAATTAATTTTTCACGTCTACAATTATATCGGCAGCGATATCATTTTGGATCCTCTCAAAGATGTCACGATTTATGAGAAATCATACATCTTTTTGTCCTTTCTTAAAATTCTATCGTAAAATTTATATAAAAATCAACCAAGATTTAGACTTTATATAGATGACCTAAACGTGTCGTGGCGACACTGGCGATGCGACGTGGTAGCGACCGAGCGACGTTATACAAAAAATAAATGCGCTAATATAAATATTAATTAATGTTAGGAATATATATAAACAAAGATATTTGAAGCATTCTCGGCGGGAAAAGACAGCTGTCGAGAGAGATATTTTTTGAATCTCACGCGTCTCACGCGCGCGTTACACGCGTGCAGTTACCGGAATGGGAAAAAAAATGATCGCTCGATCGCCGTCTGTCTCGCGCCTTTCGTCGCAAACGATCAGATAAAAGCCGAGTGGCACCCATGTCGGTCGAATCAAAATTGCATCCACACGAGAGAAGGATCGTGTGCAGTTATCCCTCGACGAGATGCGACGAGATGATGACGTGCGTGCGGCCGGCAATTTAAAGTGCCATTTGCTTCCTGTGGTAGGGAACAACGGCCTCGTTTCGACATTCAATGCAGTGCCGTTAAGTATTTACGTATAACAGGCTTAATTGCCACGGTATAATACGAAAAGTGATTCATTAAACTACACGTTTAGTATATGCGCGAACACATGGTCGGCAAGAAGGAGAGAAAAAGCAAGAAAAGAAAGAGAGCGATACGAGCTAAAAATAGTGAGTCTTATCGAAGCGTGACGTTCTCCAGGGCGCGGTTGAGGCGAATTTTAAAGAGATTGAAAAATGAGAAATTGGAAAATAAATAAAAAAAACCTATAACTGATGAAGGACAAAAATACACATGACAAAGAATAAAAGAAGCGAAGCATAAAGATATACGCATAAAGATAACAACGTAATTTCTTTTTTAATTAATTTTTTAAAAACATAATTGATTAAAATTATCTAATATATATCTATAACGTGGAACGTTCTATAAGTTATCGCGCCACATTATAAATGATACCAGGCGATGGAATTCGTTTTTGTTCTGTTCGAAAAGTGAAGGAGGGACCAGAGAGACGAACCAAGTATTCGATAGAGACGAAAGACTTGAAACGCGAGTTTTATAGCTACACTTGTACGCGAAAGCTGCCATGATGCTGCAGAAAATCCGGATCACAACATACGCTTTCCAATTATATGTGTAATGACAAAGTCAGGCATGTATGAGTATTCTTACGGAATAACAAATAAACTACTCTACGAGTAATTATTTGCTATGGTATTGAAATTTGGTGAAGAAATATTCATACAATCGAAGTCAATATACTCGAATCATCTCGAATATATTAACATCATTCGGTTGCAACAAACGTATCGATATGCTTACGTCTGCTCGTTGTGAAATGATACCGATTCATATCGTCGAAGTCATTGGGGAAAGAAACGATTCTGATTAAACTTAAGTATATGTTATACTTTTAAAGTTCCGATATATACTTGCTCACGTTACTTGCTCTTCAGTTTCAATATTGATTTATTAAGTTAAGTTGAATTTAACTATTTGTAAGAATTATATAAGATTGATTTTCATAAATCGTAATAAAAATATATTCAAACGTTTTCTTGTAAAGTGATTATTAATTAGATATTAATTATCAATTACAAATTATCAATGATATTATCTGATTTTTCTCGGAGATATTTATATTAATTACGAATGTTGTTACATGTTTTAAAAATATATAAAGTAACATATTCATACTATAATACTTTCAGAAAATATCTATATCTACATATATTATTTGTAAGTACTATTAATTATTTAATTATTGTGGTATTGTATTAATTCTATTCCAAAGAAATCATTATCATCGAATCAGTCATAATTCAAGCACATTTGTGTCGTGACAATACGTATAGGTAATTACGAGTGTCAATTAATCGGCGTATTTAGTTATCTATTTCGTATCTGCTATTATACCAAGTAACACATGGTGCCATACTGTAAATTGTCATCGTGTAAATTGTAAAACATAAATGAGCCTTGGAACCGTGTGGCACCGCCGAGCGTGCTGCGTTGAATCAAAAGAGTTCACGCCGTGCTTGATACATGCGGCACGTGTGTGTGTGTGTGTGTGTGTGTGTGTGTGTGTGTGTGTGTGTGTTGTGTACGACCAATTGCAGACGATATTGCACGACAGAATGCTATCTCGCTCTCGAATCGCGAAGATCGACGATGGGACGAGGCTGGTGAAATCGCCTGTTATAGTTATAGAGCGTCCCCGCGCGCCGTTCTATTCGCGCCACGATCTATCCTTTTCTGTACCCCCCCCTTTTTCTCTTTCCTTCTCCCTTCATACAATTAGGGTTAATTAGCACGCGTAAGCGAGAAATCGCAATTGGAGCAGGCGAACGTACGACGAGCCAGCAGTAGCAGCAGTAACAGCAGTAACAGCATCACTCGCTCTCTCTACTCGACTTTCCACAAAATCGTCCTCGCTGGACTACGCGCATATGTCGTCATTCCTCCTCTCTTTCTCTCGAGCGACCATTGAAACCGGTCTAATTTCGATGATTTCAATTCTTGAGGCTACATATATGGAAGAACGAAGCTGTTGCGATATAACGAAAATTTGCGGTATAGCGTAATAAAAGAATGCAAGTGTCATTTGTGACATTAATTATCACGCATGACAACAAACGTGAGGAGTAGCTTTTTTCTACTTTTTCCGGGAAAATAAATGAATATTATGAAATTTGTTCTGTATAAAAATTGTGGTTATTCTTTTTAATAGAAACGTAAGTTGAAATTTTTGCTTATAAGCAATTTATTAACAGAACTTATTATTATATGTCAATAATCTTAAGTCGTTTTTATGTGTCTGGTCATATCGAAGCTTGAATTTATCGAAAGTATGCCGTGGCTATTATTGAATATAGTCTCGGTACCTTCATTCTAAAGCTATCAACGGTTATATTGTCAATTTAAATCATACTGGCGATTTCGTGCGGGATAACTGACGTGTAGGACTTGTTTATAACTTCTTTAACACTTTCCATCTTTCTTTGTAGCGGTTAGCAATGAAAGAAGAAATCGCGGAGGTGCAACGGAATTACATAAGACGCGGAATGCAGATGCACAATGCATCTTGCACGAGCATGCGTAATAAATCTTAACTTCATGATCCCAAAATATCTTTTTATTATAATTTTATTAGATGAGATACGAATGTATCTTAATACATTCGGAATATTATACTTTTCGTAATAATTTCAAAAATTTGCGTTACCACCTGCATATCGTTACCATATGACGACTGCGAAAATAGTATCTGGTTAATTCAGTTGCGTAAAGGTAGTTAAAATCCGAACGAATTAAATCCGGCGGATTAATATTTTCTGCAAAAGTTATAAAATCATTTAGAATCTCGCGTCATCAGCCACGAGAGATACAGCCATTGTGACTCAGCTACCATATATCTCGTGTACGCAACATTGACGAATAATTTATCGGCGACTGACGCAAGGATAGAGGATTATCGACGAAGAGGTGTACGCACATGCGAAAGATATCGCCGTGTAAGAAACGTTTAAAAGCGGGATAAACAGATTTTTTTCTTTTTTGCGAAGAACGAGGAAGGCGAGAGTTCGCGGATATTTTTCGATCGAGGACCTTGAAATGTAATCACGATTGCGACAAGAATGCACAATTATTTAGCGACGTTGTGATTATATTAACGTGTGATTAAACGCATGAAAGAATTATTTTCCAATAAGATTTTATCGGTGGTCTTGAGCTCGCGCGCAGATATACAGGTACAATACATACATGAGCGTGTTATCGTGTATGCACATTTGCAGTATTGGTCAGAAGGCGACGGATGTGGTTGCTTCGATAGAGAAATATATGATAGAGAAATAGGCTGCTATATATATATATATATATTCACTCTTTGCATTTTGCGTAAATATATGCCGTTTAACCTTCTTCTTCTAGTGAGAGCTGTATTAAAGAGATTTAGAGAGATTTTAATATTAAACGTCAGAGTTAATTATCGCGGTTAATAATTAATACTGGCTAATGGCTAATATTGTTAATTTTACCTCAAATTTTATCGTCCTTACACTTCCTTCTTACTAGAAAAAAATAAAAATTACTGCTAGCAATAAAAAGATTATAGAGATAAAAAGCAGTGTTGCAAGCAAGATTAGAGAATTTCCCTCAATTTCAGAATTTCCGCTTGCTGGGACGAGGAGCCAATATTTGCTTATCTTCTCTGTCGAATGGAGATTCCGGAGAGAAGTGAGTTAAACTTTGCGTGCTCACATTTTCGGCTCGTTATTAACCTGCTTTCTCTTAAACGCTGATGGCCGTGTCGCGTCGTCGCCTGTAAATTCTATCGCTGTCAGCGTTGACCGTAAATAAATGTTAAACTTTTTCTTAGGAATATCTTATCTTATCCCTTCTAAGCTTGGCTAAGCCAGCTTCAAGCATTCGCGTCGTCTATAACATCAATTTATTTCATATTTAGTTATTGCAAATGATAATGATAATGATTCGTTTATTTAGCATCGTCCGTGATTTTGGAGCGGAATAATAAATGTAGGAAGTACATTCAAACATTTTCAATATTTTTTTATTAATATATTAGAATTTTAATTTTAAACGATGGTAAAAATTCTGTATTAGTTAAAACGACGTAAGTATGAAAATTATCTGTCAATTATCAAATCTTGATCAGTATATAAAGAATCGACATCTGTGTGAAAAGTAATTTATTCAAACATTGCTGAAAGAATAATTTAGACCTACTTACAAGAGAAAAATTTTCGAAAAAATTCTCAAATTTCTTTTTTGATGAACACAGAACTCAACATAATGGAAGGGCTGTATTGAACGATGACGATTGAGTCGATATGAACGCGTTCGTTCCGCGCAATTTGCGTTCTGGCCGGCCGCGGCCGCTGCGTCGGTCCGCTGTTGCTAATTACGAACGGAACGATAAGAACGGGGCCTGAATTAAACGGGAACGAGGTAGCATCGCGCTCGCACGTACGCGAGTTACACTTTCGCATGCAATTGCTACTCCGCGCCGACTCGATTTATCGAGCTTAGCGTGTGACGGTAAATTAAACAAATTATCGTTAATTTGTGATCCCTCGAATGGACAATCGCTTAGTTTAGCAAATGAGATTCAGAATAAGTAGGTACTTCTCGGTAAAAATTGTCAAAATTATTGCAGTAGGTCAAGGTGAAAATGTGAAAATTTCAGCGAGAATGCCCCATATGTATTTTGTTCATGCTCTAAGTAATTTAACGTGTAAGTTATGAAATTTTTTGGAATAAACCCAAATTTTTATTTAATGATTATTTTGATTAGAGATCTTTTTTTAGAACATGTTTTTTTCACTATATCAATGTTTTCAGTTATCAATGTTATTCGGTTTATCAATGTTTCTTTTACATTGGAAAGGAAAGACTAAAGAGAAATCGTGTATACCTTTTCGTCCAAAATATCTCTATATGTAGAAATTTGTTGGAATTTTAATTAACATATATGTGGACAAAATATGTAGATATCAGGAAGGAATAATAACGTTTCATAAATATATATAAACAAATACTAGAAGCAACAAATCAAACGTGGCAGAAGTAAAGTCTTGATGGAAAATCCTAGGTTGCGGTCAAACTTGATCCTGAGAGTCCGCCATTATCGCGCTTAGATTTAGAAAGAGAGGAAAGGAAGAGACTAGACGTCGTCGAGGGGAAACATCGTCGGGCAAAAGGCTCGAGGTGGTCAGGAAGGGAGGAGGTTAGTTGGAGCGAGGTGCAAAAGGTGAAAAACAGTTTGCCATCAGCATAACCGGTTCCACGTATCTCCGAGCGGGTCTCGCGCTCCTCTCTCTCTCTCTCTCTTTCTCTGTCTCTCTCTCGTTCTCTCTCGTTCTCCGGAGACTCGCCCGATCCGGCCAACGGGGTTTCGTCCGCAGGGTCGCTCGCTTTCTTGATGATAGTCGAGTACTGGCTACCGGTAGCGGGTGTTTTTATACAGTTAAAGACATTATCTCGTCTCTTGCCCTAAATTCTGTTGACTAGTCATGGGTCATTTCGCAGCTTTCATCTTCTTCACTCTAAACTCACGAATAAATCATCACATTCGCTTTACTTCATCTTCTCGAAAGCAATGACTTTTCAACGTTGTAACAAAAAAAATGCTTTCCCGATGGTTTAATTAAATAAAATTCCATGTGGATTCTATATTTTAATTTGAATTGTTATCCATTTAGTTACGCTTCTATACATATATATTACAGACCTTATATTTATTTATAATAACCTATTATATTCGCAATTTTTATTTTCAAAAATAAAAAATAATACAAACTAAAACTTGATAAATTTATAGCGAAATTAATTGCTTGTGTAAATAAATCTATCAGTATCTTCAAAATCTCAATAAGGGCGGAATAAATACTTGTTGTTCAAACGATAAAATAATTAGTAAAATTCTGTCTCTTTGCACTATATACTTTGACGGTCGTTTTACGGTTCAATCAACACTTTGTGGACAATGAACTTTTCTGTTTCAGATTCGGGTTTCAGAACGAGAAAGAGGATACGGTTAAATAGGACAGGGATTCAGCGTTCCAGCTGAATCGTCCGGGCGGTGATCGGGAAGACGCGTCGGGGGAAGACCAGCAGGATGACAACGATACAGAATTGCGGCGGCAGTTCGTCAAGATGCGCGAAGCGTGCCTTCGTCTTCGTGTTTGCCTGGGGATTGCTGATGATCGCGGCGGTACAGTTCCGTCACTTGGAGAACAGGGCTTTGCGTCAAGATGGTAGTCCTACCGGCGAGGATGGCATCGGTAACCCGGTGGAAGCCGATGGCATCAGCAACGATCGAGGTGCAAGCCAGGGTTTTTCAGGGAGCTTGAGTCTGTCCCGATATCTCTTGCAAAGGTCGTCATTGGGCGATCTTACCAATTCTGGCGGTAATGGCGCCCTGTTGACCACCCTGACTACTCTTAGAAACCGTTTAGAAGCGACGACGAGTCCGTTCGAGCTGGAACCGTTGCTGGATAAGAGACCTGCCAAGACCGAGCAGCAATTGATCGAAGAGATCGCCGAGAGAATACCGAGTCTACCGCTAAGCGATTGGTCGAAAAATAGCAGACTGACAAAACGGGGCAACGAGAGCTGTGCGAAATACCCACAAATCTACGATCTGGAGTTTAACAATATCTATTGGCAAACCCTGCGAACCAGCAACGGCACTTTCCAGTTTTTCGGCGCGTTCTACGACAATCGGAAGTTATCCAAGATCGGGCCGGCGGTGAGGATCGTTGGCATGATCGATCGGATTGAACCGATCGTGAAGACGTATTGTCAGTTATGGTACGAGGGCGAGAGCGAGCCCAAGATCATCGAGACGCTCGAATACAAGTACATTTGGTATCCTAAATGGGGCAATTACAAGCAGGGCATTTATCAGCCATACGTGATAGCATGTAGGGTGCCGCCGCAAGCGTATGGCAAACCACCGTCGTCCGTCTCCATCGTGGAGAAGCGTTGCGACACGGCCACCAACCATCTCCGAGTGATTTATAACAAGCCCGAGCGCAAGAAAGATTTTGCGGTGTGCGTAAAGGGTCTGGACTTTCTGCACGAGGATCTATCGGTCCGACTGGTCGAGTGGATCGAACTCATCAGCCTACTGGGTGCCGACAAGATCTACTTCTACGAGCTGCAGGTGCATCCGAACGTGACCAAGGTGCTGCGGCATTATCAGCGTCTGGGTATAGTGCACGTGACCCCGTTGACCCTGCCGGGCGGACAGCCTAACGTGCCCGCCTTCCAGCACATGTACCTCACGAAGAAGACCAATCACAAGCGGCAGAACGAGCTGATACCCTACAATGATTGTCTGTACAAGCATATGTACGAATACGAGTATATCGCCCTGTTGGACGTCGACGAGGTGATTATGCCCGTCAAGGACGCGACCTGGCAAGAGCTGATGCGTCGGGTGTTGCCCAAGGCCCTGCAAATACGGAACGAGACCCGCGCCTCGTATAACGTCAGAAACGTCTACTTCCTCGACGACCTACTGCACTCTCACGGTTACTTCAAGGACATACCCAAGTAAGTAAGGTTTCCACTTTCACGCCGCGCAAATCGACCGTCCGTGAAGGGAACGCGAAAAGGTGCTGGATGGCTCTCGCACCTCGCGCCGCCGGTTGTCGGCGTATCGTATCACGATTCACGACTCTGTTTTAATTCGTCTAATTGTAAAATCGCGACGGAGGAATAGAAAATTCGATAATCGATTGAATATGTCTATCTTTTTGTGATAATTGCAAGAGGTAAAATATGCAATTCGTGCTGAGGTAAATATGTGTATGTTCTAATTTTCGTTTTAATATTAATATCGCTGAAATAATTAACTTTTAGAATGTGAAAGACTTGGATTGTTATAGTTTTGCTACAAGAAAAAAGTGTTTCCACATTTATCTGAAGTCTATCCATATATATTATATGGACATGTACACACACACACACACACACACACACACACACACACACACACAC